TAACTTAGGTTTTTCGAAGTTAGTTTAGTGATTTCATAAATCACTCTAGGGGAACCATCCTCTTTATGGCTAGAGCTCAGTTATCCAGGAAATGGCATATTCTTTAATAGTTATGGTTAATGAAGATTATATTTGCTGTCAGGCATTTGTTCTGAGTTTTGGCTATCACTTGTTACTTTGTATAAATTCTATGATATTACCAAAATTTACAAATTACTGTCATATCACTGAATGCCATTGTTGGTGAAACCTCTTGGGTTTCTTGTAGTAGCAGATTTGGAGAATAAGGATTCTCTTATATTTGCTATTTTTGGTTTAGAAACTAGCTTGACTTTAGACATGTGATGGTAGTACTACATATTTATATATGTAATACAATAGTATTATGGATATTTTATCTTTAATCAGCATTTTATGTTTTGTCCATATGCCAATTAAAAAAAATGAGAACAACTTGAAGGGTTTTATGTACTAGTTATTATCCTTAGGGTATATCCTACCAAGGATATTTAATATTCCTTTTTACAGCTGCAAAATATGGTATACCATAGCTTATTCAGCCAATCTCCAGTCTCTGCAAACCCTCTTAATTGGAGAGGTGTGAAAAGGGAAACATCCAGATTTTTAACTATATTTTATCATTTTGGTTTCTCTGATTTCTTATGAGACACTAACTCCATCTTAAAAAGTGGAATGTTAGTTTTATAAAGGAAGGGATCTGTTCTGGCTTAATATACTTCCCCATGTAGACCAGCACTATTAAAGTGTTTGTTAAGTGGATGAGTAAGAGTTGGGTTTGAAGTTATTCTGACATATGGCTTAAGAAGACAGTTTCTCTAAGTTTTTAGGTGTACCTAGCTTTTTTTTTTTTTTTAAGTATCTTGAAAGATCTGATAGTTGATTTTGGAATTTTATTCTTCTGAATCTGTTGAGAAGGTGATAAATTTCTGTGCTTCATTTAGGGGTTAGCATTTGCATTGAGTAATTGTACCCTGAAGCATTATTGGTAGGGCTGAAGTTTAAAAAGGGGGAGAAAAGTTAAGCAGCAAAGAAAAGGATGCTGATTGGTGGGGCTTGCCTGTCTTTAAATTAGAGTTGAAGAAATGAGGCTTGAAAATTATCTAATTGCAAAAGGGAAATTTGTAATACCTTATAAATAGAAAGCTTGAACTATAAATACCAGCATCTTTTGTTCGCAGTGAATGTGAATGATAGTTTTAAGAGAGATTAAACCATAACTTTCCTAAATGATTTCTTAATCATTTAGGAAATGTGCTTACCCTTTCAAAATAAAAAGACAGTTATGCAAATGAACTATGGGTATACTCCTTAAATTTCATTTACAAAAAAACCCACAAAGGTTACTTAACATTTTTTTGGCATATGGATTGTGGGCAGACTTTTTATTATATTTTTTAAAATAGTCTGTGTCAGTTCTTACCAATGCTCAACATTGTGTTTCATGCTTCTAATTTAACATTCACATCATTGTAGTGGGAATAGAACTGGAGACAGCTGAGCACATGTGTAGTAAAGTAATTTATCGTAATTCCTCTTTTAGTGATGTTTTGAAGAACTCCTTTGTCAGAAACTTTTCTGCCAGGATTAAAAGTGATAATGGTAGCATAAGAAAGTGATGATTTTACATTAGTGGATCAGTGTCTGAAAATGTTACTAAATGCAATCTAACGTGAAAATACACTATACTTAGAATAGGTCTTAAATTCAGAAGGAGTCTTGGGATAAAAGAAGTGTTGGCTTAAAGTTCAGAGGGATTAAACTTGTTCTTAGAAGGGAGGTTAGTTGAAGAGACCTATTGAAAGAGTGACAGTTGCTTATGATGGATTTTCCAGGATATGCATATCTGGAGAGAAAATTTCTTACCTCTAGCCAGCAGCAGGTCCTGGAATCAGAATGCTTCATAAATAATTATGACTAAACAAGCCCCAAACTTGTCTTACCAAGGGAGAAGGGAGAACAATCTCTTTGGGAGAGCCAGGACTGCTGTTAACTTATTACTATGTCCTCATTATATTAGATTTCACATTGGGACTAACTACATGGGACATCTAGTGTGTGTGCACACGTGTGTATTTTAAGTCTCCTAAAAAAAATGCAAACAAGCCAAATCTCTGCTTACTGAGAGTTGAAATTTAAGTTAGGGAAAGGCCTTTTACTTCTCTTCATTTATATTCCACACTGTTCTATGAATATTGAATCTTTCAGGACTGATATTCGTGACTACAACACTGATATGGATATGGCAGTTGTTGAAACGTGGAAATAATTCTGCCCTGATTAGTAAGAAGCTTTCTCCCCAAGGGTGGACCTCCAGTTCCCCCACTCTTTTAGTACCTCCAAGGACTGTCTCCCTCTTCCCCACCCACCACCTGTGCTACAGCAACTAAAAGCTTAAGGGGGCTAGAGGAAGGAGGGGCTCAGGACCCTGGTTGCACACTGTAAGTCATGAGTTACTGTTTTAATTGTTCATTGTTTGTGCTTTACCAATTACTATTTCAAATAGCACCTCTGAGAGTATAATCATGAAGAAAACTCAAGTTTAGGAAGCACAAAATGAAAAAAGCTTTTTGATAAACAACGGCATCATAGAGCCTTTAATATATGGTAGGCATAATGTCTCTCTAAGAAGGATAGCTAGTGCATGCATTTCAGACTTTCTTGACCAGGGATCTTGTTTGTGGAAGACCTACAGTCTTATAGGATACTAATTTCTGCAGAATACAGTTTGTGAAGGGCTGCTCTCTTACATTCTGTAAATGTATACATACATTAGTGTAAGGGTGTGCTAGACACATTAGGAAATATGTAGATAAGTTTTTGCCTTTAAAGAACTTAAGACGTAGATACTTCTAAATGATACTTGTTCACAGTTCCATGCGGTAATCAGATGACTGGTTGAAATCTGTTCTTTTTGATTTCCTTATGGGGGGAGAAACAGTATTTGGGAGAGTTCGTGTTCCTGATGTTGTGGGAGTCTTCACCAGTTAAGGAAAATGGTGCTGAAAGAGTTTGAGTAACTAGATGACAAACTGCTTATGTAAGACAAAGTTGTTCTTGGAAATATTTTTATTTTGTAGAAAATAGGCACAGTTTCATATGACTGTTGTCTAAAAAGACCTGGAGTTTGTTATAAATGAACGTTATTGACAGAGAATTTGGTTATCATATCATTGTTTACTAAGCTTGTGTCTGCTGCTTGTATCTGTTGAATTAGAAACTTGTGTAATTTTTGTTGTAGTGTTGTGTTTCATTCTGATTTGAAAATTAATTATGTATATTAATGATGACTTTGGATGTGATCAAATAGCTTAACAAATATTTGAGGGTATTTTAAGTAGGAGTAGAGTTTATGCTTGGAAGATAAGACAGCAATAAACACATTCTTTTAATTGCCAGTAGATAGTTTAAAAAAAGACCACACATATGAACACAAAAGCATAATAAAAGGTATGAATCCCAAATGGTACAAGCAACAAATAAAGTTTGTTGAAAGACTCACTGGGTGTTGGTGGTCAAGAAAGGTTTAATGGAGGCTGACCATTGAGTAAAATCAAGTAAGTCAAGTCCAGGGCAAAGTTATTTTGTTTGTTTTGATTGGAAGAGATAGTTAGAAGGGAGTGTGTTAACCAGATAAACCCCATTTCTCAGCCAAATTAACATTTCACTAACATTATGTATAAATTAAAAAAGGATATAGTGGAGTTACGGATGAAGTTGTAGCTTGAACCAGAAAGTGATCATCAAATATGATCTGTAGTGTGGATTTTCATAGTAGGTGTAGATGTCTCAAGACCTTATGTTTCCCCCCTTGCATTTCTATCAGGTATAAAAGTAGGGACCTGATGGAAAACAGGCATAGTCTGTTTTATTTTGGTTTTTGTTTTTTGAAACTGGGAGAGGGAAGTCAAGTTTGGTGGTTGCTGACCTTGGTCCTGAATGATAGCTAAACTATTTTTCTGAGACTCAGATTGGAATGAATTGTGCTGTGCTCTTATGGCTGGACAGCAACCAGTTTAATACTGTGGGAGCTGCAGAATGTTCTTGCTCACGTCTGTTAGTGGTTAAGAGTATGCGTTATGGTTAAGAGTATGCGTTATGGGGCTGAATTACCTTGAGTGCAAATCTTGGCCCAGTCATTTATTATCTGTGCAAGTTACTTCTGTGCCTTAGTGTCCCTGTCTGTAGAACTTACATATTTCAAGGGGTTGTTGTGAGAATTAAATGAATCAATCCATGTAAAGTGCTTGGAACAGTCACTGGCACATGAACAGTATAAACTTAGTCATTGTTATTACTGATATATATTTGCCTATACACTGTGGAGGGAATCCAAGAGAAAGGTGACTGGTGGTTGTACTACATATTATGTTGTATGTTACAATCAGTTCCATGCTGCTGCATACTCTTTTGTCAGACTCTAGTCAAGTTATTGATGATCAGTTTTCATCTTAAACATTTACTTAACAACAGAAACTTAAGCATAGTCTAATTATTATATGGAATTTGTGAGATGTGATTCCAAGGAGACTGTCTTGGAGAAATGAGTCTTGTAAAATTTTAGGCTTACAGTTTCTGTTCTAATGGTTTGTACATAACATACATATTAAGTGTATGTGTGTTTCTAAGTATTTTAATGCCTTCATCTTTTTTTCCAGTAACAAAGCGTGAAAGAAATCCCCAATGTTTTTCAAGATTATTTAAAAGGATTTGTAATTACCGCTCAGCACCTAGGACAGCACCCAGTGCAACAATTTGTACATGAACTCTGGCTTGAGGTTTGGGGTTTGTGTTCTGGATTTGGGAAAGAAAAGAAGAGAACATTTTTGGGAAAGTTAACAATTCTCGTAAACGCTCTAAAAGTATATGAAATGGAGGATGATTTCATGGCTTTATTTCAAAATGTTTTACACTGGCTGTAGAACCCACTTCATGAAGTAGTTTGAGTTAAAATGATCTAATATTTGTGTTTTAACTTTCAGCTTTGTGTTATTCTTGGAAAATTTCGCACCACTTGTGAATTCCTTGAACCTGGGCATTGCAAACCCACTTCTGTTGGGCCCATCTCCTTTGCACTTTGCTCAGATTAAGACTCAGTTGGCGCTTCAGCAGCTGAATGCCGTTGCCTCACATAGTTCAACACCACCTTATACTTTATTAAATCAGGCTTTCTTGAAAATAGCCATGTCGAGACCCAGGTTTAATCCTCGAGGAAACTTTCCACTTCAGAGGCCACGAGCACCTAACCCTTCTGGGATGAGGCCTCCAGGACCATTTATGAGGCCTGGATCCATGGGTCTTCCAAGATTTTACCCAGCAGGGAGAGCCCGTGGAATTCCACACAGATTTGCTGGCCATGAATCTTATCAGAACATGGGACCACAGAGAATGAATGTTCAGGTAACTCAACACCGAACTGATCCAAGATTGACCAAAGAAAAATTGGATTTTCATGAAGCACAACAAAAGAAGGGGAAGCCTCATGGTAGCCGGTGGGATGATGAGCCTCATATATCTGCATCAGTGGGAGTGAAACAGAGTTCTATAACACAGGTTACAGAGCAGAGTCCTCAAGTTCAGAGCCGCTATACAAAAGAGAGTGCCTCAAGTATCTTAGCAAGTTTTGGATTATCTAATGAAGACTTAGAAGAACTCAGTCGCTATCCTGATGAACAGCTAACTCCTGAAAATATGCCATTAATTTTGAGGGATATAAGAATGAGAAAAATGGGGCGCCGATTACCCAGTTTACCTTCTCAGAGCAGAAATAAAGAAACACTTGGTAATGAGGCAGTTTCGAGTAATGTGATTGATTATGGGCATGCAAGCAAATATGGCTACACAGAAGATCCACTTGAAGTACGTATTTATGATCCTGAAATTCCAACAGATGAGGTCAAGAATGAATTTCGGTCGCAGCAGAGCATGTCTGCATCTGTTCCCACTCCAAATGTGATATGTAATTCTATGTTTCCTGTTGAAGATGTGTTTCGACAGATGGACTTCCCCAGTGAGTCCTCTAATAATCAGTCCTTTTTTCCAGTTGAGAGTGGAACTAAGATGTCAGGCTTACACATTTCAGGAGGACAGTCAGTCCTTGAACCTGTAAAACCTGTCAGTCAGTCCATTAGCCAAACAGTTAACCAGACAATGAATCAGTCTCTTATTCCTCCATCTATGAACCAGCAACCTTTTTCATCAGAATTAATTTCAGCTGTAAGCCAGCAAGAGCGGATCCCACATGAACCTGTGATTAATTCATCTAATGTACACGGATCAGGAGGAAGTAAAAAGAATTACCAGTCAGAAGCTGACATTCCCATTCAGTCGCCCTTTGGGATTGTGAAAGCATCATGGTTACCAAAGTTTTCACATGCTGATGCCCAGAAGATGAAGAGACTTCCAACTCCCTCTATGATGAATGATTATTATGCAGCGTCTCCAAGAATATTTCCACATTTGTGTTCTCTGTGTAACGTAGAATGTAGTCATTTGAAGGTGAGTGTTTTTAAAGATCACTGTATAATTCAGCGCCCAAATTTCCTCTAAATTTTCATATTGTGCTGGTGTTAACTAGGCATTGAGGAAATGGCAGAAATTATTTGTGATTGCAACATCACCGCTTAGTTAAAATCTAAGTAGCCCTGGCTACTGACTTGAGTGTTAGGCTTCCTTTATTCCTGTGACTGGCCACATAACATAGTTTGTCCATGTACTTTGAACTTTTGATTAGTTCTCTCAGAAAATTCATGCAACATAAAATTTGTATAACAAACTGTGGACTTATAAAACAATATCAGATGAGTCAACTTTAAATAGAATCTGTTATAAAAATATAAAAAGTTGGAATAAAATACTTGTACTGCACACTTTTAAGAGATAGTATATCGTAGCCTTGCATGTATCTACCTTCTTAGGCTAAAAGACAGTTAATGTTGATTTAAGTATTTTTTGATTAGCTAGACTAGGATTTTTAGTGTTTCATGAGAAGGAGCTTCCTAAAATAACTTAATCCATAGCCAGATTGAGTCAAGAGTAATTATTTTGGGGTCAGCTGTCGGCTCAGAGAATAGTGTAAGGTGGTAGAAATTTAGAGAGAAAAATCTTAAAAAAATAAAAAAGGCCTAGGTGTACCTCTGTGGTCAGTATAATTAGAAGAAAGTATTTTATAGAGGTGCTGAAGAGTAATGTAGAATATACTGTTTGATAGTACAGTTGACTCTTGAACAGCTTGGGGCTTGAGGGTGCCAACTCCTGCACAGTTGAACATCCAAATTGACTCCTTAAAAACTAATAGCCTGTTGACTGGAAGCCTTACCGACAACATAAATAGTTGGTTAATACATTTTGTATGTTAATAGTATTGTATACTGTATTCTTAAAATAAAGTAAGCTAGAGAAAAGAAAATGTTAAGAAAATCATGAGAAAATACACTTATGTGTACTGTAAAAATCTGTGTCTAAGTGGACCCGTGCACTTCAAACCTATGTTGTTCAAGGGTCAACTGTAATCGTTGGTGGATTTGTGTAGGAATTTTTCCAGTATGTTTTATTTACTTACATATATTTGGAAACTACTGTTTCTTTTGTTCACTAATGTGATTTGTAGATTTACATTATAAATGGTCAGGAAGGAATGTACTTCCCATGGAATAAGCTTTGATTCAAGGCCATATCATTGGTTGTATGTATACTTTGAATAGGCTTAAAACCTATAGGTGTTTAATTCTCTTTTTTTCCTCCTTCCAGTGCTGCCCTTTTATTGTCTTTGTATTACCCACTCACCAGATTTCAGCTGATGCTTTTCTTAACTCTAGCATAGGAAAGCAGCATTCTTCCTCATTTTAGCCAAATTTGCTGAGTTGTAATAAAGTAATAGTTGCCTTCCCTATCAAGGGAGATAGCCAAGTCTTGAAAAGTCTCAGAATAATTCGTAGCACTTAGTCTTTAAGTATCGCTGGCCTAAGTTCTGAATTGAGTAATAGGCTCTCTGTATTCCATTTGAACTTTTAATTAGTCATGATGAATCCAAGAAAGGTATCTTAAAATAAAGAACTTAAAAGTTTTTATTTTGTAGAATGGAAAGGCGTATGTTTATATGTTTATTCAGTAGGTATTTACTGATTACCAGTTTCATACATGGCTATATTAGATGCTGGGCAGAAATGAGCGCTATATAAATGAAGACGTTGGTCTTAAGCAGTTTAAACAGTCTCATTGAAAAGAAAAATTACACACCTAAGGAATTTAAAAAATTAGAGGGCATCAAATGGTTCAGTGATTGCATTTAACTTGTTTTGGTATGCTGTAGGGGAGAGAGTTTTAATATTTCTATCTTGACTTCAGTCTTAAATCCGTTCAGGCCAGCTTTATCAACTTATCAACACCTATTGTGTATTTATCAGCATATAATTAAAAAGAAGTATAAATAATGCTCGCTTTGGCAGCACTTACACTAAAACTGAATCAATACAGAGAAGATTAGCATGGCCCGTGTGCAAGGATGACATGTGAATTTGTGATATGTTCCGTATTTTTTATAATAAGTGTAGTTACCATCATCATCTCATACAGATAAAAAGGGAAAGCAAAAAAGAAAAAGTATAAATGTACGTTCTGACATCAAAAGACTAGTTGGATAAGATTGAGTGACAGTAACTTACTGTATTGAGTCTGGCCTGGAAGGATTTGGGAGGGAAGACTTCATGGAGTCGGTTAAATATGGGTCTTGAATAATGAGTAGGCTTCAGATATACCTAGGGGAGGAGGGATGACATTTCAGATGTCAGCAGTAACAATAGGTACCAAGGGTCTTCAAAAGCTTAGCTTAAGGAGTTTAGATTGAGGTGAGAGGCATTAGGAAGCTAATTAAGGTTTTTGATATGTGAAGTGACATGTTCAAAGTGTATTTTAGGGAAATAAATCTGGCAGATGTATGCAGGGTGAATAGGCATGAGAAGAGATACAGTAGGGTACTGAATATGAGGCTTCCCTAGTTCCTTCAAGTGTAAGATGGTGAAAGTCTGGGTTAATATGATAAAGTAAAAGGAAAAGAAATCATCAGTGATTCATTAGAGTTCACAGAGATTGCCGTTTAAAACAGAAAACACCTCTTTTAACAGAACAGCATGATGGATATAACTAATGAATTCTTCACTACTGGATGACCACACGATAGGGGTTTGTGAACATGGACTTAGATGGTACAAACTACCTCTCTTGTTTCTGTGTGATACATCTTACTGCCTTGTAAATGTGCATATATATGACCTTGTAAACAATGTAGCCAATAAATGTAAATTACCAATTACAATTTTTTTTTTTTGCTAAATGACAGTTGATAAATATGTTCCCCACCGCTGAATCTTTTAAAACTATAGCCTGAAAAAGGCAATAGTAGAATGTGAAATGTATTTCTTTTCTAAATTGGGGTTCAGATGTCAGAGGAGCTGTGCTTGGTTTAGAAGTTATGTCTTTTTGGCTGTCCTCAGTTTAGAAGCTGTCTTTCTGACTGAAATAATTCAGTTTGAGAAAATATTAACTGACATAAAAGATTTTTGAGGTAGATGGAGGATAGAGTGAGCTCTTATATAGGTAGGTATTTTCACAGTTTGATTCTGGGCCTACTCAACTCTACAGTCTTACAGCATTTCCTGCTTAGTAGGGGTAATTATCACTTTTTCTCTGGAGAGGCAGTACTGCTTTTGGACCCCTATTATCTAATCTGGGTACTGTTACTAGAGAGTCCAGAAATTGGGGTGGCATGGGTATATTTACTGAGCTTAAAGCAAGTGATATCATTGAGTGAAGTGGGCCTGTTAAATAGTACAGTGTGTGTGTATACATATATATATATACACGTATGTGTGTGTGTGTGTATATATATACACACACATATATATACATATATATGTATGTATATGAATGTATGTGTAGAACTGGAGTGTATGCCTTAAATAGGGCAGCTGTCAGCATCAGTTGATAGTTGCTATGCAGAATACATGTGCAGTATTGTTTTTTCAAGAAAAGCTTTAAGTCTGGATTTGGGGGTAAAATCACTGGATTTTTAAATGATGGCAACTTATTTGAGTAAAATGCTTTATGGTCTAAATAAATCATGCCCAACCCATTATTTGCCAGTGTGTCTGTTTGATGTAAACAATGTCCAGTTAATGTCAAAGACATGGGTTCAGCAGTACTAGAGACTCTTTAACTGCCAATCTCTTCTAGCTTTCTATTTGTAGCATTGAGCGGGATATGCAGACATTTCTTTTTTGCAATCCACAATCACTTCCGTGGCTTAATGAAATAGTTTAGGGTTTTTCATAACCTGTTGCTGAGTATTGCCAGTAGCATGCACCTGTCTTGAGATAGTTCTTGACAAGGCAGATTCCAAAATCAGTGTCAGCCGTGGTTTTTAACTATGGAAACTTCTAGTTTGTAGCAGTGACATACTAAAAATATTTTTGAAATGGAAATGAATTAACATTTTCGTCAAGGAACATTTTAAAATAAAGAACTGTTGAGTAAGTTTTTTACCTATCCAAATGCTGGAGAAACAATAAAACATTGAGTAATAATACACACTGCTTTTAACTGTTTCACTGGGGTGACTGTATTTTTGAAAACTGTACATTGTCTTTTTTAAAAATTTTAATCAGATGTATCTTCTAGGAGCTATTTATGGGTACAGATTGTAATTTTAGGGCAGATTTGTAAATGAAGTAATGTATTAAAAAAGCATTTTGTTCATTGTAAATGTCTTTGAAATGGTGTTACTTTCCCTTAAATCCTGAAAATAAATTAGATTAAATCAGCAGCAGTTTTTCATATTTTTACTAATCTTATCCTTTGTCAATATAGTGGGTACCTTGTTTGGAATGGTACTGGCCTAAGAGGTAGGATTTTTTGTTGTTGATGTTGTTAGCTTGAATTTAGAGATAAAAGTCACTGACACTATTTTGAAGATGCCATTGCAGATACCGTTTTATTTATAGAATTTTTGGTGTTCTCTGGAGTATTTTTATATGTAAGGTGAATTATTTCTGATCAGTGCTTTTATTTTTTCCAAGTTTAAATACATACTTGATTTCAAAATGAGTATCCACGGGTATGATACGGGTATGATTTTTTAAATGTCTTTATACTAAAATGTTTCAAAATGGCATCAGTAAGGTCTGGTATTAAGTACCTTTGTTTGGAGAGGTGCTTTATTTTTGTGAAATATTATTGAGTAGTCAAATGTTACTTATAACTAAATTTGTTAATTTTTGAAAAAAAGAATTACCTGTGTCATTTTTAAAAGCCTAATTTCATTAGTCAGTGTGAGGAATATTCTAATTTCAGCACTTTTCTCCTTTCACAATAGGATTGGATTCAGCATCAAAATACATCTACTCATATTGAGAGTTGCCGCCAGTTACGTCAACAGTAAGAACAAGTTTTTCTTTTTTATAGGTAGCAAATTTACAAAATAGTTAATGTTCAGATATGATTGTTAAATACTTTTAGTGTGGTACTTCAGGGAAAAATATTTTTAGAAAGCTATTGCCTATTTGAAATATTTTATGAAGTATATTTAATCTTTTTCCAAAAGGAGAGAATTAAATATGATCTTTTCTTCTGACTCTCTCCTAATTATTTCCAGTAGGTGGACTTTTAATGTCATGGGTTCATTTCCTTGCTGGCTTGCCTTCCTTGCAATGGTTTATCTATTTTAGAGTAGTCTTCCTTTCTCCTATCTGCCCCACTTTCCCAAAGGATAAATAACTAAAAACCACCCCAAACCAAACACCAGTATTTAATTTCAGGTGTAAAGCTCTCCTCTGGTTTAGAACCTATTTTAAGAATAAACCTTTGGGGCGCCTGGGTGGTTCAGTCAGTTAAGTGCCTCTTGGTTTCAGCTCAGGTTGTGAGATTGAGCCCCGTGGCAGCTCATTGCGGAGTCTGCTTGGGATTCTTTCCCCCTTCTTTTCCCTCCTCACCAGCTCCTTCCCCTGCTTGCTTGCTCACACATGTGTGCTCTCTCTTTCTTTCAAATAAATAGATAAATCTTTAAAAAAAAAAAGAATAAACCTTAAGTGGGAGATAAACAAGCTAGATGTGTTGGTTCCTCAATACTGGTTCTTCAGTTTTTCAACCTTTTGCTTTTTTAAGACAGACACCTATGAAAGTGAAAAGTGTGACTTTAACGGGAATCTCATATATCCCTTGGAGTAACAAAATTAAATTTTTTTCCCTCCTCATTAAACGTGATACAGTTGTGTGTCAAGTTACTGGTCACTAGACTGATGATAGTAACATGTTTGGGGGCAAATGATTTTGTCACAGCTGTTTTGGGTTTTGGTTTGGTTCTTTATGAAAACATCACCAAAATTTTTGAGATTATTCAGGACTCTTCAGTCATAAGTGATAAACTTAATTCAAAGGAGTTTTTAGTTTTTTAATTTAATTTAGTTTTTAATTTTTTTAAGATTTGATTTATTTATTTTAGAGCCAGCAAGGGCGGGCAGGACCTTGAGCAGGGGAGGAGCAGATGGGGGAGCAGAGAGGGAGGGAGAAGGAAGGGAAAGAATCTTGACCAGACTTTATACTGAGCACGGAGCTCGATGCAGGGCTCCATCTTACGACCCTGAGATCATGACCTGAGCTGAAACTGAGTCTGACGCTTAAGTGGCTGCACAACCCAGGCACCCCAAAGTCGTCCTTTTTTTTTTAAAGATTTTATTTATTTATTTGACAGAGACAGAGATAGCGAGAGCAGGAACACAAGCAGGGGGAGTGGGAGAGGGAGAGCAGGCTTCCTGCCGAGGAGGGAGCCCGATGTGGGGCTCGATCCCAAGACCCTGGGATCATGACCTGAGCCGAAGGCAGACGCTTAACGACTGAGCCACCCAGGTGCCCCAAAGTCATTTTTAAAGTAAGGGAATTTATTAGTTTATTTAACTGGGAAGCATAAGAAGTGATTCTAGTGTCAGGAACAGCTGAGTTGGATTCTGAAACAAAAATCAGAGTAGTCAGAAATTGTTTCTTGGCTCTTTGTTCTCTTCTGCTTTGGCCGCGTGAGATCCCAGGTGCACTTCCTCCATAAAGCAAAATGACCCCCGTAATTCTGGACTTAAATGAACCGTGTAGTTAGTAATTCCACGAGTTCAAAATAAACACAACAAAAAACCCTCTTTCCTCATAACTCCTGTATAAGTCCGAGGTTTGACTCTTTTCTTTGGTCCATCTTGAAATCAGTTACAATAGTTGTGAGAATTGGGTACTCGACATGTGTTGGTGTCATGTGCCTGCTCCTGCTGTGGAGTGTGATAATAAGCCCTACCTGAATCATACAGACTATGAATAGAGATAGAGTTTTTTCCCTACATAGATGCTGTGCAGACATAGGTTATTATATGGAGATAATTTGTTACCTGAATTAGATAGGCTTAGCTATCACTGTAAATGGAAAATCTCTCCTAAGGCACAAATTTGAATGTCTAATTTTTATGAAGATGAGGAATTTAAGTGGTAGTGAGTCATTTGCTATAGGTAGGCATTAATGTTAATAAGAAGATTCTAGCTCACACACTGCCATTAATTTCCTAGAACAAATGGCACATACACCTATTAAAGCCTTCTGTGTAGATAGCCTTTTTTTTTTTGCCATGCACTTAGGCCCTGATTTTAAAGTGCTTTCTGTGCCTGCCTACATATTTACCTTTTTTTCAGGTTGTGTGCTCTTGAATAATTCTTTCTTGGCTTTCTCTGCACTGCAAAAAATAATGACAAAAAAATAGATTTGATTAGGTGCTTGGGATCATTCCATGGCAAAATATATGCTATTCCATTCTTTGTTTTTTTAAGCTATATTGTGTTCCTTTTGTTTCTATACCTTAATGTATTTAGTTATTCACCTGCTGATGTATATTTAGGCTCTTACTCCTTTTCTTAAGGCTGATTATCTCTTCCCTCTCTTTGTCTTTGTTGGATCTTTCTGGATTATGATACAGGAGTAGTTGGTTAACCTGTGAGAAGATACAGTGCATCAGAATTTTAGTATTAAAAATAAATAATAATAGCTATATTATTGTATGCTGGGCATAATTCTAAGTCCTTTACATAATTTTCAAAACAACCTTGTGAAATGTATGTATAATGATTATTTGTGATTTTATCAGTGAGGAAACTGAGGCATAGAGAGTCAACTTCCCTGCTGTCCCACAGCAAATAGTTGGTGTAACTAGTCTGTCTAGCCCATGGATCTTTACTCCTTTTCCCCTTTTTTCTGTTCAACAGATTATTCTGAAAAGTTTCTAAGCTGCAAAAGTTGAAGGGATAGTAAACATTCATATATTCGTCTTCATTCACCAATTATTATCATTTGCCACATATATTTTATATTTTTATTAAACTTTTTTGAACTATTTGAAAATAAATTGCAAACATGATAACCTCACTCCTCAATTCAGCATCTATCTCCTAAGAATAAGGAAATTTTTCTACAGTAGTTGTCTGTTGTAAACACATTGAATCCCTGCCTACCCTCCAACCACACTCCCAAACCAGGAGTCAGTCAAGATTGATGCACTGCAGTCTCTTAAGCTAGAACAGTCCACTCTGCCTGTTTCTTCTTTCTCTTTTTACCTTACCTTTTCTTGCTTTTCTTTCTTTCTTTCTTTCTTTCCTTCCTTTCTTCCTTCCTTCCTTCCATCCATCCATCCATCCATCCATCCATCCATCCTGGATGCTTTCACAATGTTGACTTCTTTTGAAATGACCAGGAAAGGAGTTGTCTTGTAGAATGTCCCAAAGTACATTTTGTACTTTCCTGTTTGTTTCCTTATCATTAAGTACACGTTGAAAATTTTTGTCACAGAAACTATAGGTGATGTGTATACTTCCCACATTGGGACACAGATACTGTCACTTAGGTCCTTGTTCTTAACCATTATGCTATACTGCCTGAGCGAGGGGTGTCATGCTTCTGAAGCACATTTTAAACTAGTTAGTTAGGCATGTGCAGGCAGTCCAACCTCAACTTGCAGAATAGTATACATGCATTATCTTTCTGCCCTGGGCACCAGAGACAAAAACATTTATTCTAGCAGTCAACCTAGTGAGGATCCAGAACATAATTACGGACTCTTGAATAATAGTCCTCAAGCTCTTGTGAATCCATAAACTGGAGAGCTCCAGAAATGTAATAACATCTTTGTGTTGACAACCAGCATATTTCTAGCATTGTACATATGAGAAAGCTAAGGCTTACTTACATTAACTAACTGGCTTTCAGATACATGGCCATTAAGTGTCAGCACCTACACTCAGACCCTAGCATAGCTTGATTCCAGAAGTCTTGCTTTTAAACACCATACTGTTAGATTAGAAATTTATCTTCTTAGATGGTAACAGTGTAAGGAAAGTTTTTAAAAGCATAAGTGTAAATGAAACAAAATTATCCATGTTTTGACAGTTGTTGATGCCAGATGATAGACACACTGGATTAAAGTTAACTTTTTTTTGTTCTTCATAGTTTGTCACCTTATAGTTACAACAAGATGCTTCAGGCATCGTGGCTGCTCTCAGAAGGAAGAAGGGGGCAAGACGCAGGAAGAATTTTGCCCGCGGTTTTGCATCTATGTCTCATTGTTTTGAACCTATCACTGGCTATATATTCTAAGGAGGTTAGGAGGGCAAATATTTAGCTTTTTTAGCCTTTACTGTAGTAAAGGCAGACAAGGGAAAAGGGAGTTGAGAATTGTTGTTGAGTTAACCTGCTGTAACAGTGTCTTAGACAAATAGCAACAAATAAAAACCACTTTACCTTTAATACTTTTTTTTTTTTGAGATTTTATTTATTTAATTGAGAGAGACACAGCGAGAGAGGGAACACAAGCAGGGGGAGTGGGAGAGGGAAAAGCAGGCTTCCCGCTGAGCAAGGAGCCTATTGCAGGGCTCGATCCCAGGACCCTGAGTTCATGACCTGAGCCAAAGGCAGACGCTTAACGACTGAGCCACCCAGGCACCCCACCTTTACTATGGTTTTGACCCGACTTTATTTTCCTGCCAGGTGACTTGCTGTAAGAGTTGGCTGCCTCCATTTCCTTACCTGGCTCTCCTCTTGGTTATTAAAATTGTTTTTGAATATTAGCTGATTTAATGATTTAATTTCCAATTTAATAATGTTTCCAAAATTTCCAGTTAACCTTTATTTTTTTATTAAAAAGAGAGGGTGCGTATGAGCCGGGGTTGGGGGGATGGGGCAGAGGGAGGAGGAGAATCACCACAGGGCTTGATCTCACGACCCTGAGATCATGACCTGAGCTGAGATCAAGAGTCAAACACTTAACCAGCTAAGCCACCCAGGCGCCCCCCAGTTAACCTTTAGAGTTCAGAATCTCTAAAAAGTTGAGGAGGAAGATGTCTTTTTCTTAGGCTTCTGTGATGTTACTGTTCCTTATACTTTTTTCTTTCTGTGATTACTACTTAATCTCTTACTGGTTTGTGTTTGTCTGCTTTACTCTTCAGTGTTAGTGTGCATAAAATTCTGTCCTCAGCCCTTTCTCCTACAAACTATACCCTGTGTTAGTCTCACACCGTCTTTGTACTATACCTGTGGCTTCTGCATGCCTAATTTTTAAATATCTCAGTCCTCATCTTTCCCCATAATTCCAGATATTTATTTCCAGTTGACCTGAAAACATTCTTGTGTTCACTTCAGAAATGTTTATTGGTTCCCCGTTGCCTTTTACTTATGTGCAACCTCCTTACCTGATTTCAAGGACCTTCACAATTTCTAACTCGGAGCTACCTTTCCAGGTTTTCCCCCCTCATAATTCCTTTTCATCATTGCCATGCTGCAGCCAGACCAGTTCCTGGAATAGAACACTTGTTTTGCCTCTGAATTCTTGTATGTATAGCCACTGCATGAAACCTACGTTGATCCATGCCTATTAGTAGACCTTTTTAAGGGCCACCTGAAAAGCAGCCTTTCCTGCAAATTTTCCCGATTCTTCCACCAGATGTATCTCTTCAAGGACCGCTTGGTACAGCATAAAGGGCACCATACATGTTGTATTCTGTAGAATGGGGTCCCCTGGAGTTCTGCAAAGTGGTTTTTGTCTTTTAACCCCTACCTAAACTTGTGTCATGTACCTATTCTGTACATCTTAACACTTGTATGTGTATTGCCTATTTTACTTACACTTTGAAGTCTTTTTTTAAAGATTTTATTTATTTATTTGACAGAGACAGCGAGAGCAGGAACACAAGCAGGGGGAGTGGGAGAGGGAGAAGCAGGCTTCCCGC